GGGAAATAACACTAATCTTTCCAGATATCTTGTGAAAAGGATTCTTTCATTTATTACGGTTTAATAACACACAAGCAATTTTAACTCACGGGTGGTATTTGTCACGTGTTATCGAATCATCCGATTGATTTTCTAAAAGTTATCACATGCCTCAGCGATAATTATAGTACTTCCCTAACGAATACTACAACATATTCAATTCTTTGATGTTTATAATGATCAATGCAGCAGAAAAGAAAGAAAAATAACTGGACGTTAACCTTATGTCCTCTGTCTTTCCTGTCACAACATAATAATATACTATGACGCATGAAAAAAAAAGAAACTGGTGCAATGCAATAAAGATGCAATAAGTCTTCTTTATGCAATTCGTAAACAGAATACGTTATTCATGAAATGACCACTACCATTCATTGCCAAAAACCTTTAAAAAGTTTTTTAAAATACTAACAGTGTATTCATAATATGGAATATTTTAATGAAAATGCATTACAAATATCGAACTACTAAATACTTTTGATATACAAATCAGGGACTGGAACCTATAGGTTTTTTTCGGTTCCGGTTTCAGTTTTGGTTGTTCAATTAATTTTTAAAGGGTTTCAGTTTTTTAAAAAAGTAAGGTTTCTAGAACCGGTTAATTTCGGTTAATTCTGATTATTAGAAATTTATTAAAAAATAATATGAAATTATTTATTTATTCTTGTTTAAATTTTAATTGTTTCGTTTCATGAAAATAGAAGGTATTATGAATAGTTAAAAAAAATAATTATAAATATATTAAATATATATATTATATCAGCCTATTATATTTCTTTGAATTATGTTAAGTTATTTTACTCCAACTCATAGTAAGGATTTTTAAAATATTTTCTAATATTGTGAAATATTATGATTTGATGAAATAAATATCTTTCATTTAAAATTTAATTTTAATTAGGAATCAAAGTTAATACTGGTTACTGTTGTAACTACACATTTATTATAAACATTGATTATATTTAATACTTAATTGACAAGATAGATAACATACTTATTTAAATTGTAAAATATTAATAAACATACAAAAATAATAATAATAATAATAATAATAATAATAATAATAATAATATTACAAATTTACTTATTATATGCTTTACACTATTACAGTTTACAACACAAAATAATAAAAACATAAAAAGATTTGACTTTTATTTTTCTGAACCGACAAATGGACAAACAAAATAGTCAATATCATAGTTTTACTAGTCTAAATAACTGACCTAAATTAACCCATTTATAATTAACGTTACGGTTTTTCATTTTTTGGAAATATAGGTTCCGGTTTCAGTTTTTAAACTCGACGACATAAGCGGTGACGGACGGAAACGGACGGAAGGCTTTCGCTTCGCGGTTATTCAAAGATTAGACACGATCCAAAGGCCTACACGAAACCATATCCTAAGCATATTTTGGTGAGCCCTGCAAACAAACAGATAAGAGACCTCCTGCGGATTTGTAAGTGTCCCTGCAGTACCACGCCGCACATGGCGAACCCATATAAATACGCAATACGCATACAAAAAAAAAAAAAAACGTGTGCGACGGCGACAAATTATAACCAGCGTGCGCGGGGGTGGGTTGTCGTCCGTGTACTCCGAACAACAACATATTCACAGGATGGTACACGACGTGGAGAGATAACGTACAAAAACACACGCGCTACAAAGTTATCTGTCCGGATGGCATCATGTCGCGCCGCGTTGTTCCCGGACTCTCTCGGTTAATCAATCAACGCCGCCGCGCGCGACCGCTGCCAGTTAGACCCGTCGGACGAGGCAAAGGCGGGAGACCGCGAGCGCGGCACGATGGACGTCTCTGAACGACAACGCCACGATTTATCATTCGGCCGCTGCACTGTCTGGACATCCGATGGAAACGTATACGATCCGCGCGCGGATGACAGGTTCCAAAAGACAAGCGACGAACGTACCTACACGGGTAGATACACCATCATCATTGTTATAACGATTATTATTACCATTACTATTATCATAACAATTATTACCATCGTGATGCGTTTCATTCGACACATACGGAGTGTGCACCGATTCTCTCACCTAGGTCAGCCCGCACGAAACGACGTTACGCCGTACGTGGGCGTCCAAGCACATTCGTCGCCGTCGCGTGCATATCGACTCGAGCGATCGCTTCGAAAACACGAGAGTTCAACGACACGGCGGCAGCAGACTGCACCGCGTGCACGCCGCCGCTTATGGAACACGCACGAATATAGCGTATTCAAACGTTTCATAGTAAAAACTCGAAAATCAATAATACAAGGAAATCGTATCGCGGATGGCAATACTAGATTATAACGTAAAATATATTAGCGGGATAAAGTCGAGAGATTTAAAAGACTTAAAAGAAGAAAAAACGTCCAGAAAATTTTTTATCTAGCAAGCGTATCTAACTTCAAAACAAAGCAACTGACCACAAAAGTAGTTCAATCTGGAATTTTTCTATTATCTAAATATTTTTGCGTATAATTTACATAGAAAATGTAACCTCGGTGAGTAAGAATACTTTTTATTCAAAATATTTTTCAAATTCAAACACAAGAAGATTTTTGTTAAACTACGAAGCAATGGGAAACATAATAAAATAAATATGGAAAACATAAAATAATTTGTATAGTTGATTATTTTATTTTGACTATACTCAAAAGTAATGGACTATTATCTCTTAAGTAATGGTACTCATTATCTCTTTATAAATTCAGCAATGGCATTAATAATCTACCCCAGCTGCTTCCCTGCTGTGAACGAACTATATAATAAATTAATGATAAAAATAATATTGGGTTACGATTTGTAACACATGTTGATCACGAATTGATAAACATGATAGAGGGATTATTTTTTTAAAATCCAAACGACATGCACATGGTAAGAATTGTTTTCAACGACATAAAAGGGCAAAAAATTAAATTATAAATTTTAACATATCAGTAATTTATATTACAATCCAAATACTAACTCAATACACCACGAAAAATGTGTATTTAATACTTTCAATAATTTTTAATATTTCACCTTGTATCTGAGAATATAGGCACTATACCAGCGATGTCCAACCTTTTTTTCCTCGGCAGGCCACTTTGGTAAAAAATTATCTTAGAGTGGGCCACCAAATATAAAAGTACGAATAATATCAATATTAATCTAATAATGTTATTTAATTAGTCATGGTAGGTATACAATGTACATGTAGGTACATGTTGAATTTGTTTTCAAATATGTTATTGACCACTGAAAAGATTACAGATCGAGGTACACGTTGTAGGTACACATTAATTAGTTTTTATTTTTAAATTTTATCTTTAAAACAATTTTAAATTACATAAACTTCAACTATATTTTTAAAAAAATCTTTTATTTGATCAGTACGCTCTTTCAAGTACACGGCTTGGATCATGAAATTTCTATTTGAAAATGATCAAAAATCAAATTATTACATTAAAAAAAAAAAAGGATTTTATAATTATTTTTCAAATTTGTTTTATACATATATTGTTTCATTTTAAAAAAATTGTAACGGGCCAAATTGATTACCTTCGAGGGCCACATGTGGCCCAAGGCTGTGGGTTGGGCACCACTGCACTATACATTCTGCATACGAGCAACATAGAAGTTTAAAATATTATTCACTATTCGGTTTTCAGAATATCAATTTATCTAGAAATTGATAAGAATTATTATAACGATAATAAGCATTTTAATTTTCATGAAGCCTACTCAAGATCTTCTATCTCATACTTTCAATGTTATCCCTCAAAATCATTCTTAAAAAATATTATTTTAAAAACTGTTAAGTATAACATTTATAAGTAACTCATACAAAAAAAAAAAATTGCCAATAAAATGAAAATATTTGAAAGCCTTACTTAAATATATTAATAATGAATTTATTCAAAATTCTCATTTGATAACAAAATCAATTATAAAAATAGAAAATATAATTATACGTGAATGATAAAGAACAAATCACCATTAGATAACTAAAAAAAATTTGAACTTAAAGGCTGGAAATAACTAAACAATGTTTTAATTATTTCAAAAAAATACCAATATTTTATGAATAATATTCCTAACTACTTTTAACTTTAACACTAATTATACTAATCAGTGATAACTGAACAATTAAGCTAATAGCATTAAAATTTAAAATAATTATTAATAACTAAATTTCAAGACAATAAAAGTTGTTAGCACAACATTGAGAATTTCTAGATAAGAAATTACCACTTATTTTTGTTAATTTAATTATACATGAATATATTACTTCCTTATACATAATAAATATTATATTGAAAAGGTATTCCTTTAAAGAATTAATATTGATTATTTTATAAAATTTATCACATTTTTTAATTCCAAGATTTTAAAAAGTAAACAAATTTTTATTTACAAATTAATTATCATATAGGTAATTTACTTTAATAACCAATAAAAATGTACATATTTACCTGTAAATGTTCTTATAACATAAGTTTTTATACATTAGGTCAGTCATAACATTTTTAAATTATCACTGTAGACTAAACTAAAACAATATTGATAAACAAAATCATATGATTAATCATTGAATACTAAATGCCTACCTACTAAGAATTAAATATTGAAGATCACCTTGCATAATGGATAAACACATTTAAGTAACTATACTTTATCATAAACATTCATAACCCCCACTATATTAAAAATAATTAATGCACCTATTAATAACCTTTTTTTTTATGTTGTTATAATAAGTTGTTGTAATAAGGAAATATTATTTGTAATAGAAATTATATCAATACACATAAATTTAATTAAGTATAGTTACATTCCAAATAAATTTTTTAATAACAAACCATTTAAGATGAATGCTATCATTAAGAGTTATATTAACTAAATAATAAATTTATTCTATAATACAATAAATTTATATTTTTACAATAAGTTAAATTTTAGTCTTACCTTAATTCTTTTTATAGGATGATGTTTTTTATTTTGATACAATTTAGCATCTGTGATATTTGTTGAATCGTGCTGAGCCCCATTCTATAAAGTTAATAACATTTCTATTACCAAATTTTAAAACTAAGACTACATTCTTACATTTAATTTTAATTGGTTATTTTAATATAACTAAATAAATAGTATTTATTAATTTATTAAGTTATTAATATTCATGGAATTAATTAAATACTGTTAATATTAATATATACACTGTTAAACTCTTAAGACTAGAAGATAATTTAGTTGTTATTTAACAATACTATGGAAAAAATTTAAATAATATCATTTATTTTATATTTTAGACAAAATAAAATAATTGATACAATTTAGAAACATACCTATCTAAACATGATCTTCTAAAATAAATGTAAATTAATGGATATAAAAAATGAAATTTTTCTAGGTCAATCACTATTTATTAAATTTAGAAGTATAAGATTTGAATGTTAAGTTATCAAAGTGAAATGACTTTTAAATATCAATAAAAATAAAGCCAAAAATAAAACTGTTAACTCTTTACTAGCATAGATATTGCTATACTGAATTTGTTAGAGTAAGATAGAAAATATGAGAAATAATTATTTTTAGTTGGAAATCAAATAAAAATACATATACAGATAACATAATATGCAAATTATTAGAAAAAAGACAGGATCAAGGAAAATATTGATACTCTATGAGTAAAATATGAACAGGGAAACATGGAGGTACTATTAGACTCCGTATAGTCCTCAACAAACTGGGATAATCCAAAAAATTTATTATTTTCAATCAGTATTTTGTGATAAAAATTAAATTATTAATGCAGAAACATGCATTGTTCTTTTTTTATAGTATAAGTATAAATGTAATTGATAGTATGTTTAGCATACAATGAATAGTTGACATAAAAATATGTTAATTTAATTAGGTCTTGAATTATAAAAACGAACTCGGTGAGAAATAATATACAAAACACTACTGACAAAATAAAAATTGAATTATGATAGTTTTAAACGTATTTCTATATTTTAATTGTATATAACAATAAGGGATGTGTCCAAATTAATACAATGTTGTAATATATAATATATTTAGTTTGTACAAAATATTTTACAACAGAGTTGATGATTCCTTAATGGCTATGCTCATCATTCAATATAATGGTTGATTTTTTTTTCGTAATTGGTGTTACAAATTATAAATATTTAAATAGCGACCAATGCTATAGTATTAAATAAATTATTTAAAATAAAAACTAAATAATTTATAAAAGAATACTTTAACACTAATTATTTTAGTAAACTTTTTTATACTTATAAGTTACAACAATTCAAAACACTACTTTTATTGAATGAACAAAATTAATAATAGTTTACATTACATAATATATTGAAATAATTACTGTTATAAATAAACATATTTATCAATAAAATATGTAAAACAAATGTTATAAAAAACTTGAAATTCATCGTGTTTAAATTTATTAAATATATTAATAAATTAAAAGAGAGAAAACAGTTAAATAAATGTAAAAATCTATTCCACAAAAAAAAGACATTGTACAAATTAAAAAATGAAATAAAAACTTGATAAAATACAGCTACTTTCAATACATTTAGATGGATAAATTTAATCCAAATAAATTTCAGATTAATAAAATCATTAATATTGCTCACTTGGTAATTAATGAGTATTTTTATATAGTATAAGGATAAAATTATATTGTGTAAAATCTATAAGAAACATTAATAACGTAAAATGAGATTCAATAGAATTAAATTAAATGATGAATTGTAAAAGGTATAATAAATTAAATTATCAAAATTAAAACAAATTAAAACACACTTTTATCATAATTTATGATAATCAGTACTAATATTTAATAAATTCAAAATCAATTGATTACCAAAATAATAAATTTTATATTTTATCCTGGAAACAGGTAAGGCTTTCATATTTATACAATTGCCTATTATATACTAACTTATATTTATTAATAATAATAAAATAATCATATATAATAACAATTAAATCATTATAGTACACCAATTATTAACCAAAGAAAATAATTATGAAAAATTGAAATACTGAGTATAAATGTGATCTCTTCATACTAGTTATCTGCATTTTTCCAAAATTAATTTTAAAATATTTAATAACTTTATACTTATACAGATTATTTGAAATTTAATGGAAAAAAATTTTTTTTAATGAATTATTATTATTAAAAAAAAAAAACATGAATTATGTGAACTAAATTAATGAAATTGAAGTTATTGTTTTTTTAATTTTTTTTTTTTTTTTTAATTATTATTAATCCTAAATGAAAATTCACAATGGCTCTAGATATTTATTTTACTGTCATAATTCTTTACTTATCTATATAGTTTTAATATTACTATCAATTTTTATTTTAGTTGTTGTTGTTATTGTATTGTTTAGTCAGAATATGTTTTTAATTTACACTTTGTAAAAGAACAGATGCCTGTTAGTAAATAAATAAATATTTAGAAGATAGAATTTACCTAAAATTATAAGCTATTATTAGTTAAATATTTTTACATAAATAATCACATTACATTTGAAAATTTATAAATTTAATACCAAACTAATACTTAATAATATTTAGCAAAAAAAAATTTGTTTTAATTCATTAAATATTAATTTGATTAGTTTACTAGCTAATACAACATTGGAATTTATAAGTTATATAATCTACTAAATATGAATTGTAGCAACTAATATAAGCATGAAATACGCAGTACCGTATCTAGGGAATTTGACAACCAGGGCTAATAAAAATTAAAGCACATACATAGATGGTAGTACAGTGTAAAGTTCATGATATTTTTAATTTTTTATAAACTGAAAAGCAATCTTAGTACTAACAGTGCCTGAAGCAAGCATACCCACTTGCCCCTGCCTCCCTAAATCCAGCACAAGAAATATAATAAAAATAAAACTGAATTTTTATGGTCAGCTATTGTTGTACAACGTTTAAGTAACAATAAAATGAACAGATATTATTTTACTTACAAATATTGCTAGCATTTATTAGATGATTCCAGCAGTCCTCTCTTGGTAATTAATTTCAATCATTTTCAATTTATCTTCCTATTTGAAAAAAAATAATATTAAAAACAAATAGTTCCATAGTACTTGATTAATGTACAATAATATATTAAAATATGTAATGATCAATAATTATCAATTCGTTTTAATACATTAAAATAATTCGATTCTCATAAAAATTACTTACTTTATACACTACAGAACAATTAACTAATATTCACATTTATTTTATTTTATATTTATTTATTCAACAGTAACAGTACGGGTTACTCCAAAATTGACAGCTATCCACGAATTAAGATATCCAAATACACGTAACGACTCGACGTCAACTCTTCAGCATTAAATCTAACAGTCTGAGTGATAAATGATAATAATCATTTTTGTAAATACAGTCAAATTTCTGGAGATTGCTCAGACAGTGTGACCAACGTTTCAACCTACAGTAATGATATTACCGTGTAATCATGCACGGCACGTAATACAGTATACCTCCACCGCAGAATAGTTGAAATTGATTTTTCGTCTATTCTTGGCCAGCACTAATTTCAAACTATAAATTATACTACAGTTACTAACTTCGTAGATATTAGATAATCGGAAATCATAAGACAAACGAGCACAGTGTTTAGTGAAACGCAGTGTTAAACATGACTAATAAGCGTTGGTTATAAACATATTTCGGTTTTGGCTAGTAATTAGTACAGTTTGGAGTGGTCGGTGGAATTGGCATATTTCCCCTCATAGACGCTATTATTATACTAGTGGCCCATTTTCTGAATCTGGTGTAGGTATAACAATTAAAATGATCGAGGGGATACATGGTAAAAAATCCAAAATTATTTAATTCGATAAGTAAGCCCGTACCTACCCACTTGCATAATAAATCAATAGGTACCAATTGTTTTATAGTAACAACTAACTAATAGGAATTCATTAAAATATTTACAATTAAAATCGTATACGTTATATAAAATCTCAAAACCTTAAAAAAATTTTTATTAATGGTATTGGTATGGTATGGTACTCAGTGTATGTGCCAGTGCTCCAACACTTAAATTCATTTCTGGTTATAAATTCTTGATAAATTTGTTATTTTAAACATATTATAAATAAAATATAAATAAATAATATTATCATAAAAGTACTTATTTTCCAAATGGATTTCAATTTTCTTCCATTAAAAGTATCTGGTCTTCACCAAATTTTGCAAAAACAATTGGATAATTTATAGTTAACATTGTTAACTTAACAATGTACTTCTATAGTACAGATATGAGTATGAGTATGAGTACCTAAACAAATATCTTACAACTGTTTAAAATATAAGCATATAATGATTTCATCAAATTTTATTTATAAATGTAATGTTTTATTACAAGAGATTATCAAATGATGAATTGGAAAAGTTATTAGAAATTAATATTGTATATATTCTTTTATATAAATATATTATATATATTATTAATAACTTAATAATATATTATTATTTCATTGAATTATTATTTTAAACATTGTAGGCAAGTGTGATGTTAAATTTTATTTTGAAATATCGAATAAAAAGTTTTTTTCTTAATTATTTTTCATTAAAATAATTTTATTCATTATTCATTAATCGTTACAATATAATATTTAATGATTGAAATTACTTTCAAATACACTACTAGTGTCTTTTATTAATGGACATTAAAATACATACTAGGTAGTTATATATTTTAAATATGTTTAAATAAAATTAGGAACAACATTAAAGGACAATGTTTTATTTTTTCACCACTTATTTTAGTAATTATATTAAAAAATATGGTTTGTAATTTCTATTTAACGCACTATTAATTATAATATTGTGTTTGAATGCTATGTAATATATTCATAAATAGTGTGTGAGGGTTATTTCAAACAGTAACTTGACATTAAATTCTTGAAAATACTTGAGGCCTCAGTTTGATATAGTATATCTGCTTATCTTATAATTTCTTCTATATATGTCTTCGGTTTGCTTTTTATTGAAAATTACATTATCAAGAATATTGAAATTGTCGATTTATTTCTCTAACGCGTTGAGACAAAGCAAATAATTTGTTTTCAGCCGGTGAAATGTCATCATCAGTACCATTACCAATAGATTAAAGTGGATTAAGATCGGTAAGAAAACGATTGAAACGACTAAGTTCCAAATAATCATTGTAATGTTGTGCACTTAAATTTGTTGCAGATTTTTCATATATACAAAAATGTATCATCATATTTTGTATGTTCGTTTCTGAAGACAGTCAAACATTTAATGCAAAGGGAAAATTTGTTTCTAGTAACTCAAAAATAACATATGAAATGGGATTGCCAATAAAAATGTTCCCTAAATATATAGGTAACGTGTTACCTTAATAGTTTGGGACTCGACTGTTTACAACTGATTATCGACCGTACCTACTGCAGTTGCTGCACCTGATATACACTAATATCATTTGCTATTTTTGAATTATTAGAAACAACTTTTGCTTTTGCATTAAATGTTTTACTGTCTTAATTTTTATTACTATTTGAACTATTTTCATCATGTAATTGAATTTCGATATTTTCAGCTTGATTCGGATGGAATATTGTATTATGATGTGAATTTAACTTATCTATATAATCATTTGTATTCTCTTTATTTGAAATGTTATGCATAGATCTAGCGACTAGGGATGATTTTGTACTCAAAATATTTTTCGATTTATGAAGAGTGCGAGAATTTTTGTTAATGTTTAAAGGATAGGTATTTCTTAAAATTCGTATAGGATTCGAATGAATCATACGGTTGAAAAAAACCAAATTTTTTGATTTTTTTCCCCTTGATGGGGTTGCTATGAGCCTGAAGATTGTTGAAGTGTATGGGACTACAGTTTTTGGCACTTTTATATGCACAACTAGTTGATGTCATATGCATGTTATTGGATTGAGACAATTTCAATGCTTTTGATCTTTCAGAATTCAAACAATATATTCCACCATTATCTGATGACATATTGTTGCAGTCCATCGTAAAAAAACGTTGAAAATTAGTTAATGATCAAATTAAGATTATAGAAATACGACTTTTTACCGTTTCACAATTTGAGATGTCTATGAATATATATATATAAAGAGAAAAATAAATATTATCATATCAATCAATATCATATCAATCCACGAAAACATTAATCAAATAAACCAAGTTTTTATACAAAATATGTGTTACAGTAAAAAGGACGAATAGAAAGAAAATCAGGAAAGTTATTATATAGACGTCCCTATAATTGAATATTTGTTTTATCAGTACAAAACCTTCACTAAATCGAATATACTTTAGTGCGAAATTCGATAAACTCCAAACGCTTCATTTATTCAAGGTTTATAGATTATTGATTATATTATTATAGTTTTATAGATTATATTATATAAACATTGCTATTTATTTCTACTTCCATGCCTGTTATATTGATAACAAACATACTCTATTTCTTATTAATAAAAAAATCAAAATCCAAAGTCATCATTTACAATGTAATTGTTTTTGAATCAGTTAGTTACAAATTATCCTTGTTTATGACTATTACCAGTATTCAAAACTTGTAAGTATAATAATTTGGAATTCTTTATTTATTTTTTATAATGTATTTTGTAAAATTTTTCATTTTTTTTGTTGAATAGAAACAACCATGGGCCATATTAACAAAAAAGATCCATAAGCGAATTAATACGTAAAACCTAATCGAAGATTTTTGCAATCTAGCATTCGGTGCATAAAGACACATCAAATGACCAACAGATAGGTAAGTGAGGTATATGCTGCCCTACTAAACCTAATGTCCATATACGCCAAAAATTAAAAAATAGGTTTTTTTATACTGAAATTTTCTAAATTTTGTTTCAATTTTTTTATGTAATTAGCAAAATCGTCATATAAGCCATTAATAAAGAGATAAATAGGAAAAATTATACACAGTTTTCTAAAGAGTATGGAGTTTAGGTACTAAGCAAAAAGGCAGTATCCACCATGTACAAAAATTGATAATGAAAATCAAGGGGGCCAGAGCATAGAAAAAAGAAAGGTCATTCAAAATATGAATTTTAATTAGCATTTATATACACGGAAATAGTAATTTCAACACACACGACAGCACAAATGATACGAAGAAACTGATATACCTATTTAAATAGTTCGGTACAAACAGCTATGGTTGAAAGCTATACATAGGTATGACATTTAGACATTTAACAATGTTTAATACCAGATAACAATTATTATATCTATAAGCTAGAGTATAGACGATACAGGTCAACAAGCTAAACTCACACATTTATATTACAATATGATCATTGGTTATCATTATATACTTGAATAGGTAAAACTACAAGTGTGAGATTATATACATACAATCATCAGAATCATTATTTAGGTACCTAGATAGCTACTACTTATAATGTATCAATAAGTAATAACTGATTACAAATCATTTTTATTGTATAGTTGTTTTTATATTTTAAATAATAAATTCGATTAGTGCCTGGAGTACCTAAATAAAAAATTAAACATAATATTGAAAAGTAATTAAGATATTTCGTTCCAAAACATGTCAACATATCTATAAAATTAAATAATTGATAATGTCTGTGGAAGAAATTTAAGCGGAGCACGGTGTACAATTACACAGGATATAAGTTGATTATCTAAGAACTATAGGTATGTTGTACACTGAAACTTAAAGATAGTGTTAAATAATATGTTTAAAGTACATCAGAATTATACGTACAGTTGTATGATTAATATTGAGTGTGCAATTACTTATATTGCTCCTCTATTATCAAGAACAAGTTTTACTAACATTTGAAAACCGTTTAAGTATTAATTAATTCATAATAAATTTTTATTCAAAGTAATCAAATTAATATTGTTGTTAACGTCTTGAGTGTTAAGTATTATTCCAGTGATTTAATTAAAAATGATTTGGCTCATTTTCAAAAACTGCAGTAGGAATAAAAGTAAATCCGTTAAGTCCACCGATATAATAAACGTAAACAATTCGAAGCAAATAATCCAAGAACTTCTACGCGAATTTGATGCCATTGACGATTTGAGTGAATGCGATAATACCATATTTTCAACGGAACTACATTTCAATTATCTTTCTGTGGTCGAACCTTTCTACAACGAGGAAGAATCGATTCCAAAAATGGAGATGAACGGCCACCAAAATGTCTTTGAAAATAACACCGTGTTCGAGATGGCCGATTTGGAAAATGACATTGACGCTGCGACTATGATAATTAACAGACGGTGTAATAAAGTCACGGAAAAACATCTAAAGTTATTACAGTGTCCGTTTACTTGGAATTTGGAGTCCGGTGTGTGGAAAACGAACATCATAGATCACATCAAAAATAAATATGGAAAATATAATATGAACATATCTTCTATCACATTTTCATTAGAAAAGTAATTATATTTTTATTTAAATTATGAATTATGTATATTGTACTTAATCTTAAAAAAACTTTTTTTTTTAAAACATCTAGATTTAATCACGAATATTATCTACCTAATTGAATTCAACATCTTAAAAGTGTTAATTTAATATTTGTTTAAGTGTTTGACTAATATTTCAAAACCTATATAAAATAAATGAGATGAAACAAACATCATTATTGTATTTAATCACAACTGCTAGGACTCGAACTTTATTTATAATTACTTATAATACATTATCCTAAAATTTTAAGAAGTGTTTTTTACAATAAAATCTTGTTTTGGACTTTACGTACCTAGTGAGGTGTACCTAGATTGTAGTATTAAATATCTTCTGTTAAATTTGTTTTAGAATTTCTTTAAATTCTGTTCATAGCATTCACATTCAAATGGTTAATTAATATTCAAACTATAATACTTGCTTTTTTTTTAAAAGAAGAATAATACTTAAACGTGAATGTAATAATTATAATTTTTAAGTTATAACAATAAATCTTATTACAATGTTACAATTTAAGTAATTTTACCTATAGTTAAAAAAAAAAAAAAGAATACAGCATAAGATTTTTTTTTTCATTTTTCAGGTACATTAGTAATTTAATGATCAGCTGTGGACTGTTTAAAACGAACCAAGTTGACAAAGCTCATGATAAATTGAAAGACATTTGGGAATGGCTAGATAAATTAGACAATGAAAATGAACGGTTTTATCAGGATATTAGAGATGGATTAAAGCATATTATTATGTCTACCTTGTGTCATGTACTGTATGCTGTTAATAAAACGCTATGTTGGCAGGTAATTATTCAAATACTCAATTTAAATCTTAATATGCAAAAATTAAATAAAGTAAAAAAAAAAACCTTAAAATGAGAAACAATACTAATAAAAACCATATATCTCACTTCATGGTTTCGTATAATGCTAAAAATAGTTTAAATAATATTTTTAAAAACATTATTATTGTATTGTTTCTCATAAAATATTTCCTACTACCTACAGGGGTGTATTTTAGGGGGGTGAAGGGGTGATCACCCTCCCTCCTCTGATTCCATATTTATTGAATCGATTATATGTGAGATACACATTTCAAATTTTTTTTTATGTGGATGATTGTATAATGAAATCAAATTATACCTAGCTATAAATACTGAATTGGGCTTTTTTTCGGGTTCATACTTAGTGAAAAATCAAAAAAAAAAAAAAATACAAGCGTAACTTTTAAGACACAGACAAGTGTTAAAAAAAAACTAAACAAAATTCAATTCTAAGTGGATCCGGCATTAGATTAAAAAAAAAACCCCCAAATATTAAGGATTTACATGATTTAAATATTATTACCAAACATTTTATTTGTACATTTTGAGCTTGAATTAAGGAAAAAATTTGAGTCGCCCCCCCCTTCCTTAGAAGTAAGTCTAAATACGTTCCTGACTACTTATCATATCATATTTGATAAGAACATGACAAATAATAACTTATCCATAGCTACTTGAATTTATAATACAAAATACTCGTAATTAAAAAAAAAAAAAATAATAACAAAAATTTATGAATTTAATATTAATGTATACACGAAATGACAGTAAAATTAAGTTAATGAAATCTTTGGAATACACTCCATGAATATCAATATTTATAAAAACAATTTACAGAATCCAATTTCGTTACTCATCTATAATGTAATAAATGGAATAGCTGCGCCTCTTCTATATCTATACCACGACGTACTCAGTTCACCGACCTGTTCGATTTTTAATAAATCGCTTGCTGAAGGTGTTTTCTTATCAGTCTTGAAATGCAACCTCGTTACTCCTATTTTAAAAGCAGGAAATCCGGCAGATATTACCAACTACCGACCTATCTTTGTTCTTCCATTACTAAGTAAAATATTCGAGTTAATAGTACTCAAACGTATTGAAAGATCGCTTTTGTCGACTATTTCTCAAACCCAACACGGTTTTTTCCCTGATCACTCAATAGTATCTAGATCCGTCGACTCTTGTTCATTTGTTCATACTTGCACGAGTCTTTTAATTTAAAACAACAAGTTGATGTCATCTACACTGACTTTTCAAATGCATTCGACTCAATCGACGACGGTACCTTGATTTACTTTCTTGACAAATTCGGTGTTGGAGAGCCACTTTTATCTTAGTTAAAATCTTACTTGAGCGAGCGTAGGGAGTTCATAACTCTCTTCGGTAAAACGTCAGCACAGTTTCAAGTCCTATCCGGTGTTCCTCAAGGCAGCCTACTTTTCATTAACACTGTTCGCAAATTACACCTTGCCGCGTTTTGCTGTTCACTGACGATGCCAACATTTTTTTATGCTATATCATCTTTGGATGACTGTTTAATTCTACAGAATGTATTGGTTAAATTCGCTAACTAGTGTAACGCTGTGGGGTTAACTCTTAATACTAATAAGTGTAAAGTGATGACTTATTATCGCACAAAAGTTTTTATTAGCTTTGATTATTACCTCGACAGTCTGCCCCTCACACGCGTTACTAAAATTAGGGATTTGGGCTTCCTCTACGTCCCTCCCACTGGATTTTCGATCTCATATTGATTTTATTATTTTCAAAGCGCTCCGTGTTCTAGGTCTTATTAGGCGACATTAATCAAAGTTTGATTCAACCAAATACCACAGATAAATAAATTATAATAATCACAGATACTTATCTGTGCTGTATTACTCATTAGATAAAAGCTTATTAGAATACAGTGCCGTGATTTGGTCTCCTTACACCTTAGGTGACATGCGGTGTCTAGACAGAGTTCAGAATCGTTTTCTGAATTTTGCTAATTACCACCTGAACATTCCCCATCCACCCCCCCGACTACAGTATTATTAGTGATAAGTTAAATTTAAAATCTCTAACCGAACGCCATATTATTTTCTGTTGTATTTTATTAATGGATTGATTGAAGAAAATATCAATGCATCCCGCTTGTTAAAACAGCACGACATTCTAATACCCCGATGCACCAGGTCTAAGGAATTGTTTTACCTACCTACGAATCTATCTAACTTTGCAAAAAATTATCCTCTAGTTAGGATGATGTCTATCATCAATAAACTCAATGCTTAATATTTTCGTATCTTGGTCAACTGTTAAATCTTACTTGTGTACACATTTTAAATTTTACCTTGTTTTTGTTTTGTAATTCATATCTATTTAATATTTTTTCGATATTAATTATATTAATTGATTACTTGTTTAAAAGCCGAATGGCGTAAATTATAATAAAATAAAATAAAAAATAAAATAAATGAATAAATACGTTTTAACTAAGATATTTTATCACTAAAATATTTTAAAATAACAAAAACAATAATAGAATCTGAACATTGCTCTAACATTAATATTTTTCTAAATTCAAAACAAACTTCATTTGACTACATGATAATAGTAAGAATGACATAACTAAAGCTTTTCTAACATAGAAGCTTTATATTTATTTATTTTAAGAATAACGCCTCAAAGAGCAAAATAGTGCAGTGTATTTGTAAGTAATACCATTGATTAAATATTAATCAATACATTTACATTTATATTTACATGTACTTAACTCATAATTGTGAATAATATATTTCATTTCCACGGAAAAAGTGACTAATAACAACTCGGCTAATATAATACTAGGTAATTATAAAGTATATTTACAAATCAAAAACCAATTATGTTAAGCCATTTAAGTAATTTATTGTCATTTGTTATAATATATATTGATAAAAATATCAAAACCTATATCTTCTAATACCAATTAAATATTTTTAAGTAAAATAATACATATTTCTAACTTACGATAGAAAATATCGACAGAAAGTAAAGGAAATCAATAATAATATTTCTTGACAGATATTTACAATCATAACTTATGTAAAAACAGTTAATATTTTATGTTTATTTTATACTTCACTAGCTTAATTACCCGGCTTCACATGGAACATTTTTGGCCGTGACATAGGTTTTAATTTTTACTTTTTACTTTATACTATTTAAAGCCAAGTTTGGTATAACTGTTGGTGGTTATAAAATTATATAATATATATTATATTATGTAATATTAGTATTAGTGTGCGCGCGATGCATGAGATTATTTTTATCGATAAACTTCTCGGAACAATTATTATCTACACGACGACGACGGACAAAAAGAATAGGTTGTGGGTAGCTGGAAACTCGCGGACCGCCGTGCCGCACAATACGTATTGGCGGTGAATAATTATAATTGTTAATTAATCCACTAAAACCCAAAATTTTTGAAAATATTTTCTTATTGCACGGTGAAAATATGAGAAGAATCTCTAGTCCAAATTTCAAGTCCGTACGTTGCGTAGTTTTTGAGATATAGAGATTAGTGAGTGAGTGGTATTTGGATTTTATATGTATAGATTAATATTGTAGGTATATACATTTTAACTTTGTTTTTATTTATTAAAAATTTAGTTTTATGACGTATGTGTTCTTTTTTATTTTATAAACTCATTTAATTGCAAAATGTCAGTACTTATGAGATATAAGTATAATAAATTACGGTTGAATTTTTATTATCAATTATATAAATAACATTTATAAAGTAAATGTCACGTACACGTAGATACCGTGCAAATGTTGATGTTAAAAAAAAAAAATGTTTAAAAATCATTGATACACATAAGTCACGACGTGATAATCAATAAAACTATTATGGTATTATGGTTTTTTGTCATCTTATAATTATTTGTATATTATGTTATATTTTTTGAGCAACAAATATTTAATAATAATTGATTTTACCGTTTCAGAAAATTTTTTGTTTTTTATTTCAATATCATTGATTAAATTTTATGTTTTAGTTGTACAATACAATAACACGATTTAATTCTATGAACGTGAAATCAAGAGCAGCAGTTCATGCTATAAATGCTGCCGTATATATAGAAATTGGCGGTAAAACATTACTAAATGTTGTTCAGTATGCGAAAAAAGCATGCGATTTAGACTCAGAAACCGCCCAGTGGAAATTCATTTATTCACTAGCACTAACAGCTCAAAGACAATATCTTATGAGCAATAAATCGTGTCCAACTGCGTCCGAGTTTGATGCCATACAGCATGCGATTATTTTGTCAAACCGACCAAATCCAAATTTTGACTTCCACAGAATGCGTTTGATGACAAATAAAATACTATATCATTATCATTTTGACAAAAGTAAAATAAAAACAAATACACCGGAAAAAACTAAACAAGATTTCTATAATATCATAGAACTAATAAAGTAATGATACCAAAGTTCATTATAATTTAATTAGAAAAAAATATAACTTTTTGAATATTTAAAATTTTTTTTTAGGTCAATCGTCATTATGGAACCTGAAGATCCACATTTGATTGTAAAATGTGCGAAAGCTTTAATTACGCTACCATATTTACCCCATGAAAATATTCTTCTTATTAAACAAATGATATCAATTGCAGTAAATGTGTCTTTTAATGATCCTACAGTGATTCGAGCAATAAAAGAAATCATTGATATTTTTAGAGAATTGATTGATACTTATAAGCAATTAGTAAGAAATAATAAAAATAATTTTTAATAAAAATGGGATTTAAAGTGTAAATCTATTGAAATTATAGACATGGTGTACGAGTACATGCATAATGTACTATTACATTATTTTTAATTCTTAAAATGATAAATATACTAAAACTTATAAAATTATAAGGTTTTGTGATGTCCCATTTTAACTAATAAATTATATATAGTCTTAATTGAACATTAATACAAATTAATTGAAGATGTTTAATACCACTTCGTTCATAATTTAAGATTTAACATATTATTTTAGAATATTTTTCAGTTCAGAATATTTAACATAAAACCATTTTTAAACTTAACCTTAGAAAATAATTAAGCTTACATGAGCTCATAAATACATTATATATTATACACTACTTGCCTTATTTATTTTAGAGCAAGTAACGTAAAGCATATTTAATTTGATTATTTAGAATGAAAATAAAGTATATTTGGATAATACAAAAATTCAAAATGACGTGAAAAATAAGGAAGACGATGATTTAGAAAATGATTTAAAATTGATCGCAGAAAAATACGAGATTGGCAGTAGACCGATACTGGATTTAATTAACTTGTTAGAAAAATATGATGGAAGGTATAGGTGGAAAATAATGGCTCAAATTTGTTCATATTCAATATTATTTAAAGATTCTGATAATCTTCTTGTTGGCGTAGAACAGTTCATGATGTTAATTGACGACAAAAACATTGCCAACAGTAATATTGTTACGGTAAGAATTGGGGAAAGTTAAATTATTAACATTCTTCTGTATACCAATTAATCTTTGACTGGATGCCAAATTACATTCTCTGATGGAAAATTCTTATCATTTTTTTTTTAAGTATATATTGTACATAAAATAAAAATAAAATAAAATAATTAAGTATATATTGTACATAAAATGAAAAAAATCATTTGAAACGTAAGTATATATTGTACATACGTTTCAAATTATTTTTTTCTAAACGTTTGGAAAAATTAATAATTATAAATGTATGTACAGATTTTTTTAAAACAATAATTAGCATTTACATAATTTTTTAGGATCACAGATCTATATTTATTAAAGATGATTCCAAAGTATTCAATCTAGCTGAACTAATGTGCAATGAAATAAAATTAGCAATTATACTTGGCCATAGTAAGAATCAAGATGAAACTAAATTTTATTTGGATCAGTTGACAAATATTATGGAAGTGTGTCAAGTGAAGTCAAAAGCAGTTAATCCTTCATTAATAGTTGAATTAACTGGAAGTCAAAAAAAGCAAAAGGAGCAAAATATTCAATGTCCTAAGAATCAAAAGCAGAAGAAAGTTTTTCAAAAAATGAATAAACAACATGGCTCACACAAAAATAAAAAATTTACAACTAATAATTATAAATATACTTCAAGCAATCAGAAACGGGCCATTAAATCTAAAACAAGAAAAATTAACCAACATAAAACTTTGTAATAAAATTGCAACTGAGATTGGAAATAATAATTTTTTTAAAAATTAAAATAGTTAAAGTCGAGGCACTCATATTAAAGAAGTGGCAGTACGTGGCACTTTCTTTCACCCTTGAAAAATTAAATGGACTTATAATTTAATAAATTATTATTTATAATTAATATAAATAAATAAAATAAGAATAAAAATACACGATTTTTTTTTTTGCTCTCTTCCCTAATACTTTACATATGGATACCAATAATTAAATTAAAGATAATTTAAAATGTTTAAACTAATTATTTACCTTTGCTCTTGTATATTTTTAATTTATTTTGGTATTTATAATTTTAAAAATATAGATAAAACTAACATTTTAAGACATATGTATATACCTGTACAACATGTTATACTTACGAAATAAATAAATATTTTGTTTTAAATGTGGCACATACGATTTGAATAAAGTGTCAACATTTTCAATTTTTTAAGAGAATTTATATTTATATATATGTAATTTAATGTTATAATCTGGAATAAAAAAATAGATTTATTAAATACTAGTTTTTGGTTATAAGTTGCCTTAGCGGAACGTGGAATGCTTCCGAAAATAGTCAATACTCTACTCCGTTCATCTTACTCATACACAATTTACAACTGGTTCGATTCGATGCAATATTATGTATCGACATTTTCAGAAAACTATTCCGCTTTAGTTTATGAAACTAAGAGTATTATATTTTATATTATAGATGTAGCCATTAACATTTTTTCACGAAAGAGAAACGATATTATAGCATTTGTTCTTGCAAAAATCTTAGTCGCTAAGAATATCATGTACCGACTTTGAATTCGGAGTCGAAGTCTATTAATTTACATTCCTATAAACGATCGGTAGATGTAAAGAAATCAAATCAAACTAACTAATTGAACTTGATGTCATTGAAGGATAAAAAGACAATAATTTTTACACTCGACCAGCACCGATGGAATGGCAGGGAAGAAAGGACAGCTGTTCTAAGTCCAGGGTGACTCCGTCATTTTAGTGGTTCCGCACCCGAGCCCACGCCTTTCGTGGTTAAAGCTTTGATGATAAATTATAATATCCATGGCCGGGAAAAATGTTTATAAATATATTACATAAATAAAAATAAATGCTGTACGAATACTAACAGGCATCCATAAAAATGTTTATTTTATTTTCTGGCATAACCTTTTTCGGAGAGTTTTTTCACTCTAGGGCCCCGCTAAAAAATTTACCTCGGGCCTCGTATAACTTTTCGATGGCCGTCCGTCGAGTTCGGATGCGGCCGAAAGTGGACAAATAGACAATAGAACGATATTTCCAAGCCCGGATTAAGGGGGAGGGGCCAAGGGGGCACGGTCCCCATAATATATTATTTTAAAGTGTTCAAAACCGTTTTCAAAAAAAAATACTAAATTTTAGAAGGTAAATTATTAAAAATATATAAAATATATTCTTAATTTTATATCACGACGAGAAATTACTAAATGATAATACATTTTAAATTTAAGTAAGGTATCAATTGATGAAAGTGATACTTTTTGTTTATTAAAATAGTTTTATGAAAAATCATTGCAGGATATATTCCCAAACATTTTAATTGCTCTTAAATTATAATTAACTATCCCAGTCGTCAATTATTTAGCCGAAAGAGCATTTTCAAAGTTAACAAGAATAAAATATAAATATAGAACTAGCCAGACTTAAGAAAATTTAACATCGTTAAAGATATTATATTCAGAATATGATATTTTGCAATTAATAGATTTCAATGAAAGTTTACAACAATTCGCAAAACAGAAAGCAAGAAAAAAATGTAACTTTAGCTCTAATAACCTATAAAGTGTGTTCTTTATATATATATATATATATTGTGTATAATACCTAAATTATTACATTCATTTATCTGTCTTATATATATATATATATATTTGTATAGTATAAACATATACTTACAATAAATAATAATATACAGTTCTTAATATGTAGTAATATAATTAATTTTTAAGTTCAAGTTGAAACGAGGCCCTTTAAGTGCATGGCATCCCGGGGCCCAAGTGATCCTTAATCCGGGCTTTGGATACTTTTATCTCTTAACCGGGTGCACATATCATTTTCGTATAAATTCAAACGTGTTCCGCAGTGATGTACGCGAATGAACATGTGCTCGATACGTCTCGACACGGCTTACGTCCGGGAAACGCCTAATGGTAGAAATATTAATATATCTGTTTGGCGTTCGGTTATTACGCAGATACGTTCAACGTCCACAATGTTCTCGGTCGGTTCAACTCCTTCGAGGTCACCGTAAACGCAGGCGCAAGGTCACCAGGGCACTTAGTACCGTTGCGCCGCGGGGTCCGGTCTTCCGAACGGGCAACGCCCTTGCAACGGGTAAGAGCAGGGTAAGTCCTTCGCGGACATTCCGCGATCAGCGAGCGTGCATAAATACTGTGCACCCGTCCGGCATCTAGTACCGTTCGTCTTGTCCGTGCATAGCTGACCACCACGCGTCTCGATCGCAGGTTGAAACGTTTGCAGATCTAGAAGCGAAAAATCCGCAGGATAACGAAAATGGCTTCGTTCAAGTATCTGGTAAGTGACGTTCGTATACGCGATAACGTTTCACCAGACAACATTCGTTTGGTAAATGACAAATCGGTACTTTTACAGATAAGGTGTACTTTGACAAATTTAAATTTTAGAAATCCGATTTACGTAGTCTTATGTTACATTAACTTTAGCGATTTTTTTTTTTTTATTATTATATAACGATGATTCCCATATAAAAAATCAAAAATGTTTAACATCAAAGTAGAAAACAATTCACGTCTTTGTGAGAAAATATCAATAATAAGCAATACACTTGCAGATAAAAATTAACCAACCATAAAATATTCATTCATATTTGTCAACGAAGTATAATATTCTATATGGATAATATAGAAAAAAAAACTATTCTAAGTTATTTGAGTGACAATAAGAACTGACTGTTAGTTTACACGTAGATTACTTATATTTATAAAACAATGTAGTTATATATTATTGTTTTTTTTTTCATTTATCAGATATTCATCGCCTTGGTCGTACGCAGTGCTATTGCTTCAGCTCGTAAGTATATATTTTAACAACTATAATACATGAATCGTAACAATGTGTATTGTATTTTAATTGATAGAGGGAAAATAATGGTTAACCAATACATTTTTTTTTTAGCAATACTCTCTTACTCCATCGTAGTCCCACCTGTATACCCATACGCTTATTCTGCTTATCCAAGCCATGTGGCCTACAACAGTTATTCAGCCGAAGATGACGGCAAATACTGGCCCGGTAAATACGAAAAGGCCGAGGTATCTGTCTACAGTCATGCACAGGACGATGGTCAATACTACCCTGGTAAATACGAAAAAGCTCCGTTAGTTGCAGCTTACAAACAAGAGCAGGACGATGGCCAATACAACCCCGGTAAATACGAAAAGGCTTCGTTGGTTGTACCCTATAGCCATGCACAGGACGATGGCCAATACTACCCCGGTAAATACGAAAAGGCTCCGTTGGCTGCAGCTTACAACTACCCCGAAGACGATGGCCAATACTGGCCCGGCAAATACGAAAAAGCTAGTGTCTAGGCTTACCCAGGAGCCTATCACCATAAAAAAAAAAAACCTCATCTCCACAACGGCTCTCATTTTGCGGCTGATTATAAATATGTATAGTTAAAAGTGTTTAGTATGTTGTTTTATATTATAATGGTGTAAATACCTAAATTCGGTTTATTCGAACCAAAAATCTGTAGTAGAGTTAAAAAAATTATATCGTGTATCATAAAATATATGCAAGTTACAACATTTAACATTTAATATGATTCAAATTCGTAAGTGATTGTTACACAGTATACTATTAATTAAGTTTTCGTTCGTAACAAAATTTTCACGTGACTCATGAAACTTGATGGAATGGATACTAGTGGCTAGAGCAACTATTTACATACACTGATATAGCTACTGCTTACTTCAATCTCTAAACGTTAAGAGCAAATTTTTAAATAAAAATAGTTAAAAAACTAAATACATTAAAAACATTTTACGATTAGTAATGTTAATACAATAATGACATTATAAAATATAGAATATGGTAGAGGATGGATTATAATCTCTTATAATAAAATTGAATACGACTTATTGTTTTAAAGAGTTTTTATAATATTACCATATGGTGTGTTCAATTTATGAAGTTTTTAAAATGTATTCATTTAAATTTAAAACTATAAAAAGCACTTAATTTAGCATTAAATTAAGTACAACTACAACACATTTGTACCAATAAATAATGTTTAACGAACAACTTGTATATTTTACATGCAACTATTAAATAATGCAATAATAAATCGCGAATCACGGTCCAATAAATTAAAATACATGTTTATTTTTTTCCGTAACAGGTAATCTAACATTTTTCACCAACCATTCAGATACTTCTATAGTTTGTAAATCTTTGATAACATTTTTAAAAATATTGTACCAAATTATCCCAATCAAAGTACAAAGTATCATTTCTACATAATATCCATTCATTATCGTAGTACAATCACCTCCTTTTTCAATGCACATCTATAAAATGAAATATAAAACTATAATTACGTGATTATAACACTAACATTTACATAAAATAAAATTAATAATAATAAAACAATATTTCGATAAAATTTTGATTTAATTTACTTGCAAGAGTACGATAAACAGCGAACAAATTACTAGTATCTTACGTTTTGAAGATGTTGCGTTAAACAATAATTTCCGGAATCAATTGAACATTTCTTTAACGTTAAATAATCAACCATTTTAAGCATCACTATAGATGACCATATACCTCCTAAATTTGATAATGTATTCAATAACGTCATATAAGTACCACCGAATCGTGTGTCACTTATCCGAGAAAAAAAAGCTAACGAAGCTATAAATATGGTATAAGATAAAATCTGTAAACATAATCGAAGGTAAAGTATATTAGTAGTTTAAGTACTATTGCTTTAGCACTAGTTTAATAATTATTATTAATCTATAAACAACTAATAAAACCGTTTTGCTATTGAAATTCAAAGTATAAGTAATTGACGTGTTTGCCTTTTGAAACATGATAAATATAATTTCTATCAAACTTACTTCTTGAATTGCAAATATGAATAACAGTATCACATAGTAATACTTTGGAATATTTACTTCATTATTAATTTGTATTATACTTGGTGTATAATAAATTAATACGATAAATGCCAAATTCCAAAACAATCTGAAATATAAATTTTAAAATATATTAATTTATTGCATGTATTCTTTAAGTTTATGGATAAATTATACTATAAAAATATTTGTAATTTATTTTTCAAATTATTTACGAAACGTTGAAAAATATTTCATTGGTTCAGGTAAAATTAATATTTTATTAAAATCACTCATACAAGAAATTCCGCCAATATTTGATATTATTAAAATGGCAATTCTTGTGGTAACAAGATACTATATTTTAATATGGTTGGTCGTAATTTACTCTCCAAAAACTTAATTTTTTGTTGCATTTTAGATGAAATTTTAGCGATAAAAATAGTCATACTCTTCCTATTTTATTCGTAGAACCAATTTTTTTTGTACATTTTTACTATGGAATCTCTACTCTGTTTCTATAATTTTTTATGCGACATTTCATTTAAGGATTACTTTCAACAAAAATTACAATTTTAAAAATTTCATATTATAAAAACATTAAAAACAATATTTTCAGAACGAACCAAAAGTTCTTATAAAATCAGACTAACGGGAATTATCAATTTAAATTTTAGTGAAATTAGTAAAATTGCTTTTCTTATGTACACTTATCATGTCCTTACATAGAATTTTGAACAAACAGTTATTTAGCGGGAGGGATTCTATAAAGTAAATAATTTTGACGACCTCATCGATAATTTTTTTTAGTTTTAGTTTTAGTTTACTTTGTTCTCTTCATAAGAGCATTCTTATAAATGATAAATAACTTTTTTGCAACAAGTACACACCTTCCTATGTACCATGCAGTGGATACTAAAATAGTATCAAACTAACGTTCATAATCGACGATTATTTCTCAGAAGTTCACGCATTCGAAGACCTTCGTAACCAATACTGCTTTTATCAACGACGTTCAACTATATTACTTACTTCTGTATATTGTACAAGTACACAGTACATTATTATTTATTTTACAACAATTTTTACTCTGATTGACTTTAAGTATTGTTAATATATATTTTATAAATGTGTAAGAATAACACAACTTTTTGCCACTATTCACTGACCTTTAGTTAGATTTTTTAATTAATTTTTTTAAATATTAAAAAAAAACAGGTTTCGCGGAACTTAGTATAAACGAGTGAGTTAAATTTCCGTGTAAGTTTTAATTATCTTTATAGTATTACTATCAGGAGAACCGTTTCAGTTTTTAAATAGATGTGCAAAAATTAAAATCTATCGATTTTTTAACGGGCATTTTTGTACTCATCGATGTATGTATATATAATATATTGAGCGACGTATATATGGTTCGATGATTAATTTAAGAATTTTAAGAATTAAAATTATTATCTAATGAAGTTATACTATTATTATACAAAGAAAAAAAAATATGAAAAACAATTAAATATTTATAATACTTGTAAATATATATTTATTAATATTTAAATATTACCGACATGTAAATTATTTTCGTGTCGGTAATACGTCGTGACTGTTACGAATAGGTTATCAGCGCGGCAAGTTGACACTTTCAAATGCAGGTCAATTACCAGTAGTACACAGAAAATAGTAGAAGTTCCAATGTGCACACTGCCACTCTTTCAGATGGTGCCATTGACTAGTGTATTGTATTAAATCATTGAAAACTATTATAACTTATTTATTTTACTCACTTGATAAACGTGGCTTTTAGATAAACGTTCATTGGTTTTGGACCTGAAGTGTATTTTGCTACAACAAGTGGTACAATTATTTTAATTAGATGCAGCGACGAGTTTAAAAATACTATATCGTCCTTTGATACACCAGCGTCAATAAGTTTCAAAGGTGATACGTGATCCGCTGCAGCAAATCCAGTCTATTCACAAAATACATTGATAAAAATAAGTAAATAAACCATATACATGCATTCAAAATATTATGAAAGAATTGGCTATTTAAATAGTTTATGATTTTTTTTCAATGAATATCGATGAATATCGAATCTATTAGTTGAAAAATAATATACTTTGGAAAGTTCTTTCTAAAAAAATGAAAAACGTAATTTCTTTTACATTAAACTTGATGTTGATAATATGATTTTTACACTTTGAAATATCAACATTTCATGCCTTATGTTATTAAATTATTCACCTTAACTGTCAACAATGCAATCCCCAATATTTGAATACTACGTAACTTAAAGATATCTCTAAGTAGCAAATAGTTCTGAGAAATGTTGAGCGTTACGTGGTCGTCTTCTAATGTGCAATCTTTTTCTTTTTTGAAGATTCCGACCAATATTGTGACGAACATAAATAAAATACCCCAAGCGTACAATAGACCTGTACATATAATATATGATAATTATTTATATTTCAATAAAATTGTAAAATAAAATAAAAATTTATTGAAAATATTATAATTAAATAGTTATAGAAAAAGAAGGACATTATAATAAAATATTAACTCTTAAAGTTATATGGAATGCTTTAGATTTGGGTCCAATTAAGAAATGTATTGGTTTTAGCTCTGTGTGAAAAAAAATATAATCCCTAAAAACAGCTACAAAATAATATATCAATTTACAGATAAAAAAATCAAGAAAAATATCATTTTAAATAATTAAATATTTTGTGGTATTCATATACATGTTGCTGAGAGATAGCAAAAATAGCAACTATCGTAATGCAATGTACTATTATTTTGGATGAACGAAACGTAAGCGGAGAACATAAATTTATAAAAATTCTAGAAACATTTTCTTGGCAGAAATATTCATATTATATTAAAAAAGAAACCTCTCATTCTCTATATAGTCTAACCATAATATGACAACATTTGGAACTTAGGTCAAAACACTTATAACCGAAAACCACATAATTCAATATAAAAACAAAAATAAAAATTAATAGTTTCAAACCGTTTACATTATTTTAAATAAAATATAAATTAACACCAATACTCTTTTTAAGAAATAACTGAACATTTGATTATTATCTAATATTAGATTATTTATACATTGAAATGTTTCAGTTTTTATATCACTTGTTTTGTTGACCATAGATAAGCGATTTTTGATATAGTATAAAATTGTTCAAACAATATTATAGCATTTCGATAAGGTACAAAAATATTAATTTAAAATTTCCATAATTACATAATTATTATCTATACATTACTGGTTATCACATTGGCATCCATTTTTTAAAATGTTAAAAATTTTTAAAATAATTAAAATTATATATTTGTTATAAAAAATTAAAAATGCAAAGAAACGGCATGAGAACTGATTATGTGAAACAAGACTTCTGCATAAAAATAATATGTTCAATAGAAGTTATTTATATTATCACATTATTATTTCTATATAAAATAGTGTGCGATTTTAATACACAAGGTATCAACAATAGGATAAATACATTAATATATTTTTTCGTTATTTAAACTTATCGTAAAGAATTATGTGGACTAATTTTTTACAACTAGGTAAGTAAGGTCTTGTATATTTTTTTTTAAATTAAGTACTACCTATTTATATTAATGTTGTTTTAGATTCTGAGTGAATCTAGGAATCTATTTTGTTTTTTTGTTGTGAACATAGTATTATTTATAACTAAAAACAACAACTATTATTATCAATTGACTATAAAAGATACCACAAGAAATTACAAAAAAAAAAATATCATTCCGTGATGTTATTGCGTCAAAGTAAACCACAAACTTCGCTTAATTTAGTTCATAACTTAAAAATTAAGTATCTAGTTGCACAGTCAACTGAACTTCAGTCAGAAATGTTTAATTGGGGGAGAGAAACAATACTACCAATAATTTTCTTGAATGTTCCTTACTTTTTAAAGTCACTATCCCTCCAATATTATGGGTACTACGTAAGTACTTATTGCAAAATTTTTCTGAGGTACACAGAACGGAAGACGTCGAGCCTATCATCAAGCCTATTGCTAGACCTGTTGTATTGCATGTGGATGCGTAGCCCACGTTATGCCTGTATAAAATCATAAAATAAAATTTTTAAATTTAAAACAATACTAGTTTTTAATCTATAATGGATGATACAACGATAAAAACCTTTTTAGTATCGTAAGTGACCATCCATCGACAACTATATCCTGCGTAGCGATCATGAAAGTGGTGATAAAAAAAACATACACCAACTTCGGTATGTTTGGTTTTTCTGTCTCGGGCAACAACTCATTGATATTGTTGGAAATATAAAAGAAGCATGATCCTGTTTAACATAAAATATGATTGAGTTAGAAAAGTTGACACATCCTGCTACTGTATAAATAGTCGAAAACTTTTTAGATTAATATATATATATATATATACGAGTACATATATAAGGTAACGTGATATAATACAAATAATAATTCTGAGTGGATTTATATTTAGAAATAAAATGTTATTTTAAAGTTAAATGTTTTGAATAAATCAATTAATTTATAAGAAAAGTGCATTCAATGATATTTTACATTTCTTGGTTTTTAATTACAGTTATATTGAATGGGTAATAAAGAAAAACAAATATTGTACTTACCCATTAAAAATTGAATCGGTATAAGCCAAGATTTTCGCCTACCGATCTTTTTAACATAAAACGAATCTACTAATGGAGCCCATAAGAGTTTCAGTGTATATGGTAACATAACAACATTGAATATCGCCTGAAAAAACGGGCATTCTATTGATTTTTCAACGACACATTTATCTTCTAAAATGGCTGTTGAGTCCTATAAACTCGTATGATACAGCTGATAGGCTAGATGCCCCATGCAATTTTACCTGATCGTTGTAGGATACGTTTTTATTGCTCTTCAAAAGCACAGGTATGGAACTGATCAATCCTAAAGGTAGACCTTGCATAGTGTATAATAGTAGTAATAAAAAAAAGTTTTTCCAGTCCCCTTTCAAGTTTGGCTCGTTGGAAATTGAACTGATCGCCACTGCATATTTTTCCGATTTATTCTCGCGTTCAATAGATTCACTCATATTTAGTCACCGCGTTTTATAATATTACATAATACATATTAAAAAAAATATTTAGAAAATTGAGAACTACAGGATTTATAACGACAGATGCAGTAAACATACTAAAGACAAAAAAAAAAAAAACCGTATGATATAATTTTATCTGTTATTGTAACACGTGGACAGTACCTATAGTTGTTCAACAATTTGTGTACTGACAGGTTATACGATAGGAAGTAAATAAATACACAGATACATACGAATCTTAAATTATAAAAAAAAAATATTTGTGCCTGTTGTATACTCAATCAACAAAATCTTTGTATAGTTATAATAATTATTTATAAACGTAATGGCAAATAATGATTGGTGATTTAAATACGAATAGTATAATGTATCTTCATATGTTGTATGTTACTTTTATTTCAGATCACTTTTTATAAATTAAATAATGTAAGGCATAAAAAGGTTATTAACTAATTGTTAAATGCCAAAAAAAAAAAAATGTTGAAAGTAAAAGTATGATTAAAATTTACTTAAACATACTTTTCAGATCTTCATGTCAATTATGGTAATGTAATCGGTAGAAAAAATTAATTTTTAATAGGAATTTCATTATTTTAGAGATATAATTTTATCTATAAATTTTGTATTAACTCGAGGTCAAAACACATACCATTACGTTCACGTTAACATAGAGAATTGTAAAATATCTTATTTAACATGCAACAATATTCATTAAACAATAAAAGTAGTCTATATAAATACAAAAAAATATAATGTTAAATAAACATAAAATATTAAGTAACATATCACGAATATAATATATCTTGTGTACGTTTCGAGATCCACAATATACGAAAGTGTTGATTTAACCAGCGACGTCAACACGATGTTGAGCATCACGAAGAGCAGTACCTTCGGATATCTGAGAAGATAACACGTGTCATCACTAGCGCAACTAGACACTCGAGGGTCTTATATTCAAGTGTAAAGTGGGGCCCTCTAACCAAAAATGTAAATGCTTTTAAAAAATCCAAGGTACACCGCTTCCTCCCTTTAGTTAGTTATACTACAAAATATATACTATAAATACTAGAAATATATGACAAAATAACAATTGCTGCTGGGTCTGCAAGTAATTCTATAAACTAACTTATTTTAAATTATATAAATTAATAAGTTAAAATCGGTATTAAGATTTCAAGAGCTTTTAGCAAAAAATTGACTAAAAAATGCTTAACCAAAGCTTAATTAATGTTAATAATAAACGTCCCAGCGAAACCACTACCTCAATCATCGGTTATGGTTCACGAGTTGCGATAATGAATTTCTATAAATACGAATACAATTTTATTTTTAAAATACTATTCTTGGCCCCTATCTATTATTTAGTCAAGGTAATGATTTTATAAAATTAACAGTTATGGTTTTAAACTCAATCCAAAGTGTACAATTACAGATTTTGAAAAAGCACCAATAAATGCAGAATCAAACATATTCCCTCAATGTATTCAAAAAGGTTGTTTTTTTCCATTTAGGACAAAATTTATGGAGAAAAATACAATCTTGTGGACTTGCTACACAGTATGGCAATGATGAAGATTTTAGTTTAAAACTACAAAATATTCCAGCACTAGCATTTTTACCACCAGGATAAATTAAACAAGCATTTGAAATAATAAAAAATGTTTTACCAACCGAAATTTCTGTATGGTTTGATGAAGTATATATAAATGGGAAAATTAGACGAACATTAAGAGACGGCACAATAAACCGATCACCACCTTTATTTCCACCTTCGTTTTGGTCAATATGTTTTAATAGTGAAAATGGAATCCCTCAAACTCAGAATAAGGTAGAGTCTTGGCACAAAAAATGGAACATTTTGATTGGAGCAAATCATGTAGGTTGTCTACGCATCATTTCAGAATTGAAAAGAGAACAACAACATACATTAAGTAAAAATATTTTATTTATTTTATTTATTTATATATTCATACATACGAGTATATATTTATTTTATTATTTGTAGGACAAATTGAATTAATTTTGGCTGGCGAACCGAAACTTTGACAGAATTCAAAGAATGTTTTACGCAAAAAGCGGTTGGATGCAGTTATAAATGACAAACAAAATAGATCTTTGGATGAATTTTTAAAAGGTATAGCTTATAGCATAAAATTATAAATTTATAACCTATTTTTAATTAATGTGTTTTTAAATTTTATACTGAAAATTTTCAATTTTTCCTTATTTTTTTAATAATTACCTGAATTAATATTTTTAAGTAATATATAAAATAAACTTTTTAATAATTGAGTTTATTATTATGGATTGTTTTGATCAATTATAATTTTGTCGGCCTATTGGCCGTCGACCATGTAGTCTGTCTGCCCGATATACTATTCGGCCCATCGGCCGTCGACCGTATAGTCTGTCTGCCCAGTGGTTGTCGGCCCAATGTCGTGATCCCGAGTAAATATGTAAGCGAAATGTGTAAGTTTGACTTAGTATATTAACAATTAAAATTATAAGACCTAAAATATTAAATGTTATTGTTATCACTCTTAGAATATAAAAATGAAGGATTAGAATTAAAAATGTAAATTCCATATGAAATTTCACTTAATGCTAAATGCATAAAAAAGTGTAATTAAAAAAAATTAGAATAAAAAAAATTTCTTTTCGGAATCTAAACTTTTAAATAAATAAAAAAATATCTTATTTTGAAAACTTTAATTTAAATAATAAATGTAAAGTCAACCTTATATCTAAAATCTTTCAAGATAGTAATATAGACATCTGTTAAAAAAAAAAAATCGGGAATCTTGTCTGAAATAATATATTGATTTTCTCGTGCGTTTCTACCGTATACAATTTTCACTATTAGTATAGGTACTTATAAAAAGTTGTCTTCACCAGAAACCCTAAAGCATTTTATTCGGTTATTCTTTTGATTTTGATTGTATACTTAATTTTTGTGCTAACCACATCTTAAAGACTTTTCTGTTTATGATTAATATTTTTATTTTTATTTTTTTTTTTTTTCGTAAACAATGGGCACATTTCTTAGTTGTGTACCATTTGATTTTGTTTCTAAAACCTTGTCTGTGTATCCTTGACAACTATTGAAACCCTTGCCATTGCGCTCGAATTTTATGCCACTTATCTATACACTACACTTGCAGCATATAATAGGTACATATATTATAGAATACATACGATCACGTTACAACGAAAGCTACGAACACGTTTATTTTCTATTAATAATAATAATAAGCTACCGTTAATGTCGATTCACAGTAATGAATAGATACCATTTTTTATTAACAATTCGCTTAAATGATTCATTTATTGTATTATTTATCATGTACCGATGCATTGATTCAAAGTACTACTAAAAAAAAATTCCAAACATGTACCAGTCTAACAATCGCTCATCGTTTGAATACTGTTTTGGATTCCCACAAAATTCTTGTCATGGACGCGGGAAGAATGGTCGACTTTGTGCCATCCACATAATTTGTTGAAAACAAATACGGATTTTTATTTAAAATAATTGAAAAAACAGGACGAACAGCCGTTGATATGTTACATAGTATAGCTATTGAAGTAAAAAAACGTATTATAATTGTATTTTCTTTGCATGGCCGGCTTTAGCTCTTTCAGCGTCCAGTGCAAGTATTATTCTGGTGCCCCTCCTTCATAAATAACTTAAATTTATAACTTAAACAGGCAGAATTAATGGATATGTAGAGGCTAAGTCTTAATCATAATCAAAATACTTAAAATAATTTTCTAAACGTGCATACGTACTATATATACTTATATATTTATAAATTATACAGAGAACAAATATAATATTAATAATAATTTAATGTTGGTTTATAAAAATGGCCACTCCTTGTAAGTTAATATAATAACAGTTAATAATAATAATATTTATAAAAATTAGATTTATATTAAATCATTTTGTTTAGACTTCAATCAACAAGTTATATATATGTATATAATTTTATTAAGGTATTTCTTAAGTATATAACTGCATTATTATTTATAAAATAATAATAATATATAATAAATAATAATAATTTATATTATTTTTTCTTCTAAATTTTGATTGCATATTTTTTTTCTGTATTGTATATTTTAATACATTAGTAAGTACATATACTCGTGCATGTTAGAGATATTTTTAGCGCATATTTGGTTGGTTATTAATGCATATAAATCCACGCTATAGTAATGAGGGTTGAAATTTTAAGTTTTTTTTACAGTTTTTCTTCGTTTTACTCACAAAAAGCATACACGATCAAATGATCTGAGATACAGCAGTATAATAAATGGAAATTATGAATACAAACACATTAGTATAAAAAAAGTAGTTTATTACTCAAAAAAAAAAAAATAATAATAAATGGGATAAATGTTTCATTTAAGTAACAAGAAAAAAGTCGCATAATATTTATAAAAATGAATACTTTCGTGAATATTTCCAAAATTGAAAGTATGTAAAATTACAAAAAGCCGAGTTCTTTTATTTATTTTCATTTTTTGTTACGACGAAAATGATCTAGAAAAAAAAATTATTTTTGATTAGTAATAATAACAAAATATGTTGTTTCTCGTTTTTTTAACTTACGTTGTGTCTTATATATTTAATAATCCAATAAATTTATAAATGATTTTTTTCAAAAAATCGGGCAACCTTATTTAAATACGTTTTGTACATGAACTTATTCTCTGTACGAAGACGTTCCATTTTTTGTTGTCTATTTAATGCTAGGAAAGAGAAAACAAAATTAGCATAAGCGTTACCGATTTATAAGTATATACACTGAAAGTTCTTTAGTTACATGGATTATCCAGTTGTAACAATTTTGTAGATTGAACTGGTATTCCTCGAGTGTGAGTGTCGTTCTAAAAACGATAACACATTGTCAATGTAAAATAGTCGTTATTACTTTCAAACCAATTGAAACAATTTTACTATAGGACTATGAAATGAAAGTCGAAATTAACGCGCTTTGGATATGTCTTAGGTACTTTTAATAACGTGGATACATAGAATTTCAACATCGTCCGTGGATGATAAAATACTTATAGCAGAAATTATAATAGTATTGTAATACGTACTCTTGTTAGATAGAGGTTCAGACAGTTCGGCTTTTTGTCAATCGATACACTTTCGTACTGTATTCGACTGAACCCCTCGTCCATTGCTATCTGCAAACACTGCGGTGCACGGAAAAATGAAACAAAAATAAAATGTATTATTCAATTAAATTTATTTATTTATTTATTTTAATCTAAGGCAACAGGCTTATATAATATCACTTATCACATGCAGTAAATATTTGAAAATATCGTATAACTAGTATCTGTTTTTAACCAAAATATGACATTTTCGCTGTCCCGGGGATCGATATTAAGTATTGTATACGTCACATGTTGTTATATTATTATTATGTTAAGTATCGCGTAACGCGTACTTGGTCTTTATCTATATTCTTTGGTACGTGCAGAACCACTCTGGGCGCAACTGCACGTGCCATCCGAATAATAGCTGCCATGCCACCCGTGTCACGTCCACAAAGGTCTCTGGCGTCAAACTTTGCTCGCCTTTCGTATCCTGGACCGCCCCATGGTGGTGAGGTGACAACGGCGTCCACCCTGAGGTTAGTGGCCACCGAAAAAGAATTTCCCACCCTGAAATCTATCCGGTGGGCCACTCCGTAAACCTCTGCATTTTTCTTGGCCAAAGCTATTTTTTTTGGATCCAAGTCGATGGCGATAACTAAAAAAAAGACATCAACGTATCGTATTATTGTGTTGAATTATAATACTGTTCAATAATAGTATGAACAAGCTTACCGTGATCACAAATCAATGCCAGCTGTATAACATTCCCCCCGGCACCACAAAACGGGTCCAAGACCGTGCCGAACGAAGTGCACCGCTTGGCAATATGCTGTGCCAGTACCTCTGGGCAAACGGAGTACATACTGGCTGCGTAATCGCGTGGAAAAAGATTCACATCGTTAAAAAATAAATTCGCGTATGTTATATTATAACTTACCCTCGTCGAGCATAATTCCCTCGTCAAACCTTGAGAATAGCGAAAACCGCAGTTTCCAATATTTAAACGTTTGGTTCAATGTTGACTCCTGAGAGAATAACAATTGAATCGGTTTAATATCTATAGATGTGAGTGAGTGCTTATGCTTTCAATCGATCTTTTACACGTGCGTTTGTAGTACGACTTAAAATATTTTTACATGTTAATTTTTTTTTTTTTTTTTTTTATGATGTTCACTACTCTAAATTTAAATTATAAAAAACCGTCTTCGTATAATGTGTACTGGAGTATTAACGTATAATAAAATTAGTGATAAACATAAGACATGTCATATTGTACCTATATACATATGTACAGTTAACTCATGTACGAGACATATATGTATATAATATAGAAGTTAAAAAAATGTGATATTTTTTTTAGAGAATATATTTGTCCCTTTTTTTTTCCAAATATATGGTCACCATAGTATACATTGATAAAATGCCCTCCTCCACACAAATTTTTACCGTGATCTTATTAGTTTTTCGAGATACTCAATGATTTTTATTTTCTCTTTTCGTGTCGCACATTTATCACGGAACAATTAACTACTAGAAACCTGCCCTAAATCGGTCGGCATTATAATCGTCCTCACCTGGGTTTCAGCTTTTGACGAGCGATATTCCGTGCTGGGGCCAGAGGTACTATCGGCCGTCGGTGCCAAGGCTGCAGGCAATCCCAATGTTATCTGTGCGTCGACCAATTGTGCCATTTCATCGGCCATCGTCCGCGCCTTTTTTTCCACCATCACGTTACACGAACGTGCGGGACCGTTTACGTACTCAACGTCGACGCCTGAAGTGATCTGGCACATAGTCACATCGACCTGAGCGGATTTGTCTACGTAAAGGGTTTGATCACCGGACGCAACATCGCTAGTGGCCGGACTAGCCTGGGTGTATCCATCCGCATACGATATTTCGAAATGGCCACACGCGACGTCACGAGTGGCCACTGGAGTGCGGTAAACTGAATCTCCGTTGGTGACAGACACTTGGTCCGTCTGCGTGACAGTTTCGGCTGTGGCCTCAGGGCAGCAAAGACGATCAACATGGATATGTCGTCCGTCTCGTCGTCCCCATCTTAGTGCTCCGGCAATGCATCTCCGATGCGCAAAACCACGGCGAGCTAAAGCGTTAAAAGTATGAGACACGTATGAAAACTGAAGTAGATCTACTATCCTCGGAATCTCGCGCGAATCGAGAAATTCAGCCGTACTCACCATAGTCATCTTCTGTCATTGCGGTCCAAATCTTTGGCCACCCGCAGATGACGCAAAACACCATAAAATGCCATATTTCCCTTTCCGTTGTCGCGTCAGAACTGCAACAGCGTTCGGAAGCGCAACGGTGATCGGAACTGAAAAAACAAAACGCGTTATACATGCCCGGTGGGGCATTCGGTCTCACGTCAGACGTGATAGCTTTGCGCGGCAGAGGAAAAAAATCGTTACGATGTTAATTTTATGATATTATCGTTTAGTTCCGTTTACCTCGTTATGGATCCCATTATTTTTATAGTTTTGATATACGAGTATGAATCAGGAAAATTATTTTTGAAAATAGTGTTCACCTAAAGCATCAACAATGTTGAATGATATCGAATTCGCTTGGTTCGTAGTTATAGCTTAGTTGCGATATATTTATCTGGTAACATTTAAAGCCAGTTGCTTAATCAATATTATTAATGGCCATTGTTGTAAAAAAAACACAACTTGAAATTAAATTTAGAAACTAAATAAAAACGAAATAAATGTAACTCTTTTAGACTGGCGATATCCGAACGACGGTATTTAGCTATTCCTAAACATTTTTTTATCCCTTTTAGACGCCTGACAAAATTGTTTAGATCAATAAGTGCAGCTTCATTTAAATTCATATAACCATTTTTAGAAAACAATTTTGATTAAATGGAATAATTTATTACCATTCAGAAATATATTTCATCAAAAGATCGTATAACTAAAATATATGATCAAATGTCTGTACTATTAGCAACATCGTTAGTTTTATATAATATATAATAGCTTATATAATAATATTTATTGAGTGTTAGCGTAATTTAATTAAAGTACACTTATTCAGTATGGATATAATATGTAATTTTATCGAAAAATAACGATGGCGATAGTATATTAAATTATTTTTTGGTTTTTCCGATCGTGCTTTTATGTTCTTAAATTAATTTTATGATTTCTCAAATTGCTACATTCGACTCTAGTCATATAATTTATTATTTATCACTACTATTAACCTTAGACATAAGATGAGATTTGTCGCTATTGGCTTGAAAACATATTCCGGTAACTGTTTAGTATATATTTTAGGGGTAAATGATCGCAACACTTGAAGCATTGTGAAATAACTCTTCTTGAGTTACGATGGCTGCTTCGGTGTTAATGTATTTTACAGTGGATGGTAAATTGCAAAATCAAATAAACCATAAATACCAGTGGCTAGGTGAATTTAAAATTACAGAAGCAATTGACATTTTACAAACAAATAATAAATACCCACCACTGACCTATGTTTGTGAGTACTTATCAAAAATCTCGCAGTGTCTCTTATTTTTGAAGAATTTTTGAAAAGAAAATAGATGATAATTATTATGGTTTATTTTCATGTAAAGTGGAACTGTAAATTATTTTCTGTATCACATTGCATTATAGACTATTTTTTTTTTTTTTTACAAACATTGGTTTTACGTAATTGTTATTAGAAGAAAGAAACATAGGCGTGCGCAAACATTTGGTTCCTTGAGTGCACACTAAAAATTAAAGCCACAATAATTTTGAAAGCCATTATTGGTATATTTATATAAAATTCACAAAAAATAATTTTTTTATAAAATTTTAATTTTAATACATATTACATAACAATATGACAACATATAGATATACAATCTCTTATAATGATAATCGACGTTTAAAAGGTATAAAATTTTTGAATTCGTCAATAATTTCATTAAAATCTAGTGCACCAGCTAATTCTTGTTCTATGAATATTAGTATTAATGATTCTAGCCTATCTTAGCCCAAAGTACATATGAGTTAATTTTACTATACTTAGTTTTGAAAATATCTTTTCGCATTTAACAATTTGTTGCTGGTATTATGATAAACATTTTTAATATTAAATATATATTATTAAAAATGTCTAACCGTCCACTCTCTTTTAACCAGTCTAACCACACATATACAGATTCACTGGATGTACCACTTGGTACATAAGGCATATGTTTTAGAATTGTAATATCTTACTCCAATTCATTAATTGGTTTATTGAATAATTTTGATAACATTTTTGAAAAACTATTATTTAATTATAATTTGCCACAGCACTAATCAAATCTAAGCTGTCTTGATTGAATGTTTGACTGTGAGCTAAAGGTTTGAACTAACAGATCAAATTAAAAAGATAGTAGTCGAGATTAGATTTAAGCTGGTCGTTTATTAATAAAAGAACAAAAAATATGTCGGAGATGTTCCGGTTACGAGAGTGCCGAGAGAAGAACGGACGACGCGACAAAAGAAAGCTACACCGGGGAAAAGACAGTAAGTCGACGGTGCTACCAACGCCACCGCTCGACCGACCTGAATATAGCTTTGATTGTCGTGCCGTCACGTTGGTAGCCACAATGATCGTGACGAGATGACCGTCACAAATGTAATACTTATACTGTGGCGGACACACTGCCACATATTCCCTCACCACGCTCGACGCCGCTGGATTGGTCACCCTGCCTTATCGCAGCACGGCCGTCCGAGGCGACACGGCCATCTTCGCGCGCCGAGCTTGGGCTTCTCGTTCGACCGATCGCCCGATCAACACGTACGTAACTCCCGACCGCCTTTACGTATTTTGGTTATATACGTGCTCTTGATCGACGACCCGCTCGACCAACGCGAGTCCTCTTGTTTCATTATTCGCATGTATTGATTTTATGTCGTATTAAAATATATACTAATTTTTATTATTATTCAAACGTGGTTTGTTTATTATTATTATACATATATATATATATATCGACGCCATAAACTATCATTCGTTTGCAGTACGCGGATAGCACACCGTCGAACATTATCTTTGTGCATCCGCGTACTCGCCAAAATACCATTGATAAGATTATCTATTAACAGATTAAATACAGAACATCTGAGTCATAGAAAAGAGATTAGAGTACAATTGATTAGAATAATTTTATCTAACCTCACATTCACTTTCTTTCCTTTAACCACAAGAATAATAATATCTAATAATATATTTGATAGGAACTTTTTCAAAAACGTTTTTTAAAAATGTTTAATTTCTCAAAAATATTAATGAATTTTTAAGTGCTTGAATCTAATTAATAGCTGTTAATAGATAGTTTAGGAGACTGAAGACCTAAACTTACTTTTAAAACTATTTTCAAAATTGGTTCCATAAGATACAAGCCTAGAAGAAATTCAAAACTTTGAAGTCGGTGAAGTAAGCCATTACCTTTAGCTTTCATTTATGGAACAGTAGTTTTTACAAATTTCATCAATGGCAACTATTAATATACTATAATTATTTTTCATTGCACATACAGCTTCTTATATACAAACCCAACGAGTAATAGAGCATAATTTAAAATATTTTAGATGTGATCTTGCTTCTAACGTAACTTTCTCTATTACTACATGTCGCATTGGACTTTCTTCAAACAAATTATATCGTACCGAAAAAGTTAAATATAAGTTTATTGTTGGGTGCACTAGAATTTTCACAAAGTGAATTGATTAGTACGAGATTGAGACAATGTTCATAATAGTGCACATAATTTTATTATTTTATTCTTTGTACTTCGCTTGAACACCTACAATACCGATCACCATCAAAAAAAACTGCCAAAACTGATGAACAAAAATAATAATTATAACAATTTTAATATTATAGAACACGATTCTGTTCAATACGACTTCTTATATTTTCGAAGAAATAAAATTACAGTTATAATATTTGGATTTTTCAAGATTTAAAATTAAAAATTAATTAATAATTAGGCCTTAAGGCCCTTGCCGTTGTGGATGAAGGGTCTAGGGGTACTTGGGACATGGGACCTGTCACAGGACCAGCGCTAGCAAATATTGAGGGAATTTCCCAACTACTTTCTAAAACAATATTCTACAATACTAATATTATTTAATTTGTTAATGATTGCTGACTATATAAATAAATAATTTTTAGGGGGTAAGGGGGTATTTCACCCCCAACACTGGCAATGGACGGACTCTCACACTGCAGAACCCCACCACTGCGTTTGTATTCCGCGGTATTAATGAACTTTCGACGAGACATACATTTTGGTCTACGTATATCAAATTATTTATGTATTGTATAACGTTTATTGTTAAGTTTTATTTTTTTATTCCATAGAGGATGTAAAAATTACAATTGTTAAACAATTTTTGAGAATTCCTCACTTATTGGTCAAATAGGTTCGCTGATGACAGTTCATTGATTGGAATTTAATTTCTTAGAAAAAATGTAAAATATTTTAACAATATATGTAATAATCGTTTCGTATTAATTAATTTCGAAGTGATAACTGCATTCATGTCAAAGATATTATAACACTCGTTTCCTATACCACTTCTTTGGTGTTGTACTCTTCAACGTTTACCAACCAATAAGATGGCTTCAACAACTGATATTCTTTTAATATATTTTTAAAAACACCATACCAAATGCATCCAACAATTATGCAGATTACTGTTCCTGTATAATAACCGTCAATGTATACTTCACAGATGCGTTCACTTGTTACACACGGCTAAATATAAAAAATCACCGTAATTATTATGATAATATTATCATTTTGAACACAACATATGAGTAATTATTTTTATTAAACAGAAAAAAAAATTATCAATGAGATCTATTTGTTATAAAGTATAACTTCCAAGTTAAACGTAAAGTATAATAATATAGTCACTCACATTTTTCATATTTGATGCAGAACATATGTTATTAAAATTAATTGAACACTTGCTAAAAGTTAAAAGTGACACAAGTTGAATGCCTAAAGTCTTCGTCATCAGGAATCCCGTAAAATATACAGCGTTGAATAATGTCATGTACGTGCCACCAAATCGAGGATCGCTTATCCGACAGAAAAATGACGTTAATAACAGTATCATGAAAAAATTCATCATCTAAATATAAAAAAAAAATTGATTTTTTCATAATTTAAACTTTACATAATAACTTTTTATCGATGTTCGATAAAAAAAAAAAAAAAAAATTTGATATTTTCTAATTTTCTACACGACGGTACCAACTCAATATCAATTGTTCCACAACAAAGAAATATGCATTACATCAAAATGGAAAATATTCAAGACGTTATCATCAATTATTATCCAAGTAGAAATTCATACAGATTTGAAACAATTAAAAGTAATAACCGACATTTAATTGTCAATACTTTTTTAATACTGAATCGTATTAAAGACCTAATTGCATGATACTTTTACATATTAACTGCATTTTAAATTATAATGCTTTTTCATTGTCGCTATTGGTAGTTATTAAATATTTATCAACTCACCTCATTTATAATGATTACTAATCCTAACATAAAATAATAATATGTTGGCACATGGACGACTCCATTTTTATGAATGATACTGTGCGTATAATAGAGCAGCACAGCGTAAATTGCATTCCAGAATAATCTAAAACAAACGTTTTATAATAGTATGCCATTCCGTTAAACAAAATTCATTCCCTTATTAACCGAAGTATCAACAAGTATACAGTATTATTTCAACTGTTCATCATACAGTAGTTAATGCAATCGGTATCATATGACAAAAATTAATTTTGAAACGTAAATACATTGTACTAAATATTTTACGAAATTTCTCTTACAACAATCGATTACAACATCGATTAATTGATAATTTGTAGAATAACGGATGAAAAAAAAAAGAATACCAATCTGTTGAACAGGACGTTATACTGTTTTACTACACCTATGATATAATGGACCACTAGTTAGGTTAGGTGTTCTTCAAAAACTTCAACTTAAATTAAATAGTCTATCATTACATTCGATTCTTTAGCATTGATATAGGTATATCGGTTCCTCATGTCAAAATATATATTTAAATATAAATGAGTTCGGTTAATTTACTTGATTAATATTAAATTGAGAAGATGACTCAACGGTTTTGTGCTATTTATATATTTTGATAAAAAAAATGGAGCAACGATCTTTATAGCATAAACTGCCAAGCCAATTATCATAATATCATCTTTTGATACACCGACATCAATCAACTTCATTTCCGAAACATTATCTGTTACAATAAATCCCAACTGAAATACAATAACACAATCACATGATTAAACAATGTGAGCTACTAATCAAGAATCACTACACGTTTTAGACACTAGCATATGTGTATTAAAAACGCAGCGATTAAATGCCGAAAATAAAACTGCATATACTATCGCGAAACCGTACGCGTTTTAAAAACGCGTACGCTAATAATAATTTTACGAAAAAACAATTTTCGAAAATACAAAGACTTAAATAAATAATGTAATTTTTAAAAGAAATATAAAATATTGTTATTTAATGAAGTTTTAAAAATGCAAATTAAATTAAATTAAGATAAATAAATACACTTCAATATCACAACATTTTTAATAAATATTTACCCTCATTGTCAGCAATGCCAATATAAATATTTTTACTCGAGGTAGATTAAAAAGGTCCCATAAAACTTTGAAGTTCTGAAATACGTTGATTTGAATATAATCTTTGTCTAAGCTATTATTTTTCTCCTTTTTCAAAATTCCTATTAATAATATATTGAACAAAACTATGATGCCGAAAACAAAAAAAAAAACCTGTAAAATTATTAATATAAAATTAATAATACAAAATTGTTACTATCCAATAAATATTTTTAGACAAGGAATACCATTATTACTTAATTAAATAAACCAAATGAAAAAAAAATAAGTTTATCAACAGTATTCAGTACTAAATGAATAATATCATTGATTATAAATACTATTTATAATCAATGATAAAATTAATTCAACTTCAGTAGTCTAACAACTACCATCGAAACTTAAATACTGAATGTTAAAATAATGTTAAATAATATTAAATGTTAAATAAATGTTAAATACTAACATTGAAATGTGCCATGGATTATAATTTACTAATTGTACAATTTAAATCAAAAACTAGAGCACATAAAAATTATTGATCCAATACATAGCTGTTTTGTTTATTATCTATACTTGATACAATAAAGTTGAAGAATTTTAATTTTTTTTATTTTTTTGAACGCGCCGATCTCTGGAATCACTAGTTGGATTTGTATAATTATTTTTTCATTTTAAATTCCAATAATCGAGGAATTTTATAAGCTATTTTACATCACGCCGTGACCTTAGAATTCACTTAGAAGCGAAAACGAAGTATTAGCGTGGGCAGGCGAAGCGATTCTTACGCACGTACAACATTAATACACGACGGTATTTTCAAAAATAATGTACATCCAGAACAGATATCTTATCGTGTGGTCGTCGAATTTCGGTGTCATGAGATATTTATTTTGAAATTTTTCTATCTGGACGCGATAATATACACAATAAGGTCGCAATAATCCGAACAAGATCGGGAAAAGGGATCTTTATTCGATTTATTGTATATGACTTAAAAAAGAAATTTATTTTCTAACAATTTAGATCTGAAATTTATTTTTATTTATACATAATTTAAAAATACAATGAATACAATTGAAATGATTATTATTATTATATATATATATATATATAAAAAAGTATACTCCTACGTATCTATGAAATGTACACAATATAATTATTGTGTTGAAAATAGAACAAAAATCACAGCTACAGTACTTCTACTACAATCTTCTTTTTAAGTTTTGAATATCCTTAAACCAAGCATTGAATAACGAATCGAACAACATATTAATAATATAAGAAGTGGCATATTTTATGGACAATTAAATTCATGGGGACAGATAGTATTCGATATTTATATAGTACGTGTTCTTTTATATACAATTTAGAACAAAAACTAGTTTTTTGAAACACGATAAACATAAGTTAATTTAACAAAATTTTGGACTCCATACAATTTTCAGACACTAACCTATAATGTATGACATCCTATTAAATAATTAATTAAATAAAATAATTCTATTATAATTGTTGCCTAAACTAAATTATATTTAATTTTTATCTACTTTATTTTATTGTATTAAGTGTAATAATATTCTTTTAACTATAGACTAGTGAAACTAATATACAAAATAAAATTTAAGTATTCTGTGACTGCATTTTAAAATAACATCTGTGGTAGTAATTTAATTTTTTTTTCTATTTTTCATTTTATTTACACAAATAAAGATATTTACAAATAACACAACCATCTAAAATATATTTGATGTTTGCTATACGTAATAATCCATTGCGTGTCTCTTTAGTAAGATCAGTGGCGTAGCTAGACAAGAAAGGGCTCCGGTGCAATAAAAATATTTGGGCCCCTCTCTTATATTATCTTAATATGAAAATTTAAAATATACACGTCATATTATTCTTTCAAATGTGAATAATTACCATGAAACTATAAACGAAAATATTCAATTGATAATTAATAATTATACAAAATAAAAAGGAAATCCAGTTCAATACTATAAAAAACTTATTGTATATAGCGTGAATTATTATTCTACTTAAATACTCGATCGTAATTAGAATTGATTTTGAATAAATAATTGCCATGTACTATTTAATTTTAATATTAAATATTTAGAACAGTAATTATTACATTTTAATAATAACTATTCTAGATATTCCATAATTCATGATTTCAATGTTCTATATTTACTGTTATTATTTTCCGTCTTGTTCTTTATAACATAATGTACATTTTTTTCCCTGATGGTTGTTAATAAATAAATTATCAAATTATTAAACTACCATGTATAATTTAGGAATTAAATTTATCAACGTTCTTAATTTTTTGAAGGAAGTATAGTCTTAGAATTGTCTAAGGGTTCCAAGGCCCTCTGTGATTCGAAGCCCCGAGGCACTGTCCCGCTTTACCTTATTGGTAGCTTATAGTACCTTATTGTAGCTACGCCACTGAGTACGATAAATATTAGCTTATTGGTAGCGAATACAAAATCAACAGAATAAGAAATGGTAAAAAATTAATTTGTCAAAATATTATTTTATTAATGATTAGATAATACACACTCTTTTAAAATTACATTTTACATGTAAATAAGCAATTTTAGATTTTTCTGTACGATTAATATCGTATATACTCAAATTAAATTTAAATTTATATTATTGTCTGAAATATAATCTATTATTACTCATAACTATTATACCTAACGCACATTATTCAATACATGTGAGCAACATTTTAATATATATAGTATATTTCATACTTTTCATAGTTACCAACCCTCCTGTACCAGGTTTCATATTTAAATACTTAATGATAAACTGTTCTGAAACCAACAAAATAAAACCAGTGGAACCAATGAGCATTCCTGTCTGAATTCCAAGAGTACAACAAGTTGCAGTATAATTTAAGTTATTCCTTAAAAATAAAAATAAAAAATTTATATGTAATATATATTAATATTATTATTAAGTAATATTATAAAGGATACTTTTTCAAAATTGTCAGTGACCAGCCATCAACTACAATCTCCAGTGTGGCCGACAAAAAATTAGCGAAAAAAATCACCACTATTAAAATTGTAAGATCGGGTTTTCCTTCGTTGGGTAACCAATCGCTTATGTTAATAGCCAAATAAAGGAATAATAATCCTTTTCAATTTTGCATACAAACATAAATTATAATATTAGTGAATGTTCTTTAATTCATAAATAAATATTCATATTATACATATCATAATGTATAATAATAATAATAATAATAATATTTAATGTAATATGTAATGTATGAAATTATTAAAAATTTGTGGTAATAAGAGTTACTTGAAAATAACTTGAAAATAAAAAGAAATTAACAGTTTACGAGCAATGAAAAAATGTGTAAGTATGATTTGCTCACCCATTAATGTTTGAAGGAATAACAACCAACACTTTCGTCTACCAATCCATCGGATATAAAACGCGTCAATTATTGGAGCCCATACAATTTTCAAGAAATATGGCCAAAATGCCATAGATAAAATAGCCTAAAATAAAAATAAAACAATTATATACTGGTATATTTGAAGTTTTTAGTAGGATGAATTACATTACATATTTTAAAATAATTTATTCATTTAATACATCAATAATTTATATTTTAAATATATTAATATATTATATTCCTTCTAATAGATCATAGGTACATATTAGATATTAAATTAAGAAAGTCTACGATTTTCTACTGTATTAGCGAATATTTTGGAAATTTAACAAAAAAAAACTTTAATAAATATGAACATATGTCAACGTTTTAGCGATTTAATTAAATAATATTCTTAATGATATAATATAAATTAAATTATTGATATTTAATTAAGAATGTATTTTTTATTAAAACCATAACTGAACCAATTATACAGTGTATGGTGTCTTAAGAAACGTCGTGCTATAGTATAATAATGTACGGTAACGTGGTAAGTTAATACGATGTAATACACCAGTAATTTAAACGGAAAAGCACGTCTTATGCGAGACAAAACCATTGAGTGTAAATCCATAATAAAAGCTTAATTATTTTGTCAAAGAAGAACATTATCTGTGATGCAACGATTTTATTTATTTTTTTTTTCACTAAAAATATAGATTCGGAGTTATTTATTAGTAAACGATTGTGAAATTTCAAGTGTTTTTTGAAGTTATAAAAATTATTGAAAAAAAAGTTAAATAGTCTGTACTACTTATTTACACTAAATGATTTCGTCCCGAACAACATGGGTTTTTTTACTTAACAATCATAATCAAACGATTATATTATAATATATAATGATAATATAAATATTATATGGATCCATGGATACCACCACGATTAAATGTTACTCATGTCTGTACTGTATCATCGTCAACCTGTGGACCATTACACCCAGGGCACAACTTTATGTATCAGTCATCTATTTTAAAATTAATATATATAGATATATATTATATACTTATATTTTTACACTAATATAATGAAAAAATGAAAATAAACATTTCATTTTTTTTCCTTAACATTAAAAACAAGAATAACCATGGCTAAACACTAATTTCAATTTTTATATAGGTACCATTCTTAAATACTTAATAAGTAGCATATATATATATATATATGTATAACTAAATAGTATTCTTCGTTTAATATTGATGAATAAAAACAATAAGTATCCATAATTGTAATTAATAAGTGAAATCTTAATGCGAAGAATTGAAAACGAATGCTTTAAACGATATTAAAACTAAAACTTAAAAATAATCTACGTATGATCTACAGCGATTGATAACAAACCTTTTTATGGTATTTATTTAGTGTTTGGAAAAAGCATCGCTTGTGAACACACGTTTATGCGTTCTCGTTCAACGTTCATATTTTGTGAACGACATATGAAAGTCACTCCCTTTTTTCAAACATGAACAATATTTATACTTTTAATACACTCGAACGAATTTTGGGGCGTTCAAATATATTTATCATTTTAAAAATATATGAATAAATAATAAATATTGATTATAATATATTTAGGAATAAGTTATAAACATAAATTAAAATATACCTAATACATTTTATAAAGATCCTATTTATGGAGAATTCAGGTAGGTGATTTGTAAATATAAAATAAAAACAATTAAGTTAATGGATTAATTTTTCATAAAGCTTGAGCGTGAACTTGTTCACTTTAAAAAAAATTAACATGAACGTGATTGAATTCCTTTTTTACGCACTAAATGTGGACGAATTCAATTTTTAAGTGAACACTGTATTTATTTGATACCTAATATTTATCTGTACTAAGAAAGGTACATTAATTTTTAAAAAAAATTTAACATAATTTCAACTTACTTGTTCTTCATAAGTTACAGTTTTATTACTTTGTAAAATCAATGCGAACGCAACGGTTAAACCAATAGGAAAACCTTGTATAATGTATAGTGTTGTCAATAAAACTAAATTTAAGCGATCTCCATCTAAATTTGGCTTTTCCAACGTAGATTCGTGGGATTCTTCAAATTCCTCTGGAACATCTATTTTTTTGGTTGATAGTGTCATATTTTCTAATGACAAAATCTTCGTATAAGTCAAATAGACCTTAATTCCTATAAATTGAGCAAATTAAATGACATAAACCATAATTTGTTTTTATTTTTATTTTAAATGTCAAGAGGAGCCATGGACGTAATTATTTAACAAGATGTGTGTGTGTGTGTGTGTGTGTGTGTGTGTGTGTGTGTGTGTGTGTGT